GCAGTGGTTTATGTTAAAATAAACCTTTGGGTTAAGTTGTCGCAAACAGGTTTTTCTTGTGAATTTGGTCTTAAATTTTTATTTCAAGTGGCATTAAAAAGTCTTAAAGTCTTGAATTGAACTTGCGTTATGCTGTAGGAACCCTGAGTTCAGTCTTTAAGTTTATTCCCACCAGGACTTTCATGAGACGAGCCACGGTCTGCTCCTCTGGTTGGAAAACATCGATCGCAGAAGGAATGAGATCGTCCCTATTGATCCGATCCAGGACAGTGATACTCTTCACGAACATCATAAGACGCTCACGGTATAACACAGTTTTGATTTTAGATGATGATATGAAAATTACTGAAATGCCAGAAGTCAGGTCTTCTTCGTAGATAAAAGTTGCATAACTTAAATCAGTTTGCCATAACTCTCCAAATCCTACAGCAAATCCGCCAGGAGTTATTGGACTCTCAGCTTAAAGTCGCCCCCCTACAAGACATGTCCCTCCAGTTGCTGGTCAACTCTCAGGGAGGTGACTGTCTGGAGGCCAAGGAGAAGGTTCATGTCATCGGGAATCGCCTCAAACTTTTACTAAAAGAAGTAACTCGAGACCTCAGAGAGCTCTCTAAACTGCTGGACATCACAAGCAGCCAGCAGGTAAGAGACTCAAACAGCATCTTACAAAATGATCCCTACCTCTTGGTCAATCTTTTTTTTTACATTTTAATTCAAAGCTTTTAGGTTAGTTAATTTTATTGAGATGTTCTGTGGTAGACCAACACCACATAAAGCATATATTTAGAGTTACATTAAATATTGTATATAACTTTATTAGTAAGTAGTAATAAGTGTCATGCATATGTAGCCTTCATTCTGATTTCCATACCTAGAAACAAATGTTACCTTCGTTGTAAAAAAAGTTAAGTAATTTTTCCTGGATGGAAAGAATCTGTCTACTTTTTCTAAAGCTTGTCACAGATTCTCAGAGTCATTCACAGACGTAAATATGTTCATTTATTCTCTTTTTTCCTGGTAAAGTAAAGGTGATTAAAATGTGGAAAAACCTTTAGGGGCGTGAAAACGTTTGTAAGATTCTCCTTGTTCAGTTTGAACCTTTACTTTCCAAGACCTTTTACTCAGAATATCAAATTTTATTGGACGTCTCAGATTAACAGAAGATATTCACAGTATTATAATCTATCT